TGTACAAATGCGCCTTACACAATTGATATGTGTATGGATTGTGATAAGCGTTGTATGAGCCCCTAATAAAATGATTTTTTAAAAAAGAAATAGATTAACTATAGACCTGAAAAAAAAAGGGGGGGGGGAAAGTACCTCGTCTGACTGAATTTTGACTGTCTAGAAAATGATGGTTTCAGAGGGAGTGGCCAAAGCTGCAGAGTCCGTTTGAGGAGGATAAAATGCTGACGCTTGGTCTTCGGTGCAACTCCCAGCTCTCGACGTGTAGTGACAGTGCGACTTTGGACAAATGAATCCCTCTGTATCTCTGTATCCTTCAGTAAAGAACATCGTTATTAAAAGTTGGTCCAAAATGCCTGGTACACAATGAACTAAGAAAACCAGAAGCCACTGCCAGTGGGTACTCAACTGTGAAGGAATGTGGCATGGGACTTGTCAACTAGGATTCCAGACGGGGTTCCCTGGGGGAATGCACTCGTCAGTAGTTTGCCTTTGGGCTGTGGAGGGCTGCTAGCTGAGAGAGGAGCCGTGGCAGTGGCCTGCTGTGGGCCGTGGCTTGGAAAGTCAAGGAGAGGGATCCAGAGGGGCAGCTGTAAACTCGTATTTGAATCACAATATAAGAGACGAAGCCATTCTCTCTGTTCTCCTAGACTCAGAAAGAAGCACCTTTTTTTTTTTTTTAAACAGGGGGTGTAGGAACCAGGATGGCGCGGTGGTTATATGTTTGGGCTGCTAACCTCAAGGTCATCAGTTTGAAACCACTAGCAGCCACTCGGTGGGCGTAGATGAAGTTTTGTACTTCTGTAAAGAGTGACAGTCTCCGAAACCCACAGGGCAGGTCTACCCTGTCCTATAGGATCCCTGTGAGTCAGCATCGAGTCAATGGCAGTGAGTTTTTAGATGGGTCTACACACTTTAAAGCCAGCAGTCAAAATTGGATACAGCTTTCCTTCTACAATCGTGACTTTCATGATTTCCATTAAGTTGTAGCCATACCTGGGAGCCCATTTCTGAAATGCAGTACGTATGCATTAGTTGCCGCATGTTTGCTGTTCTTCCCAGGTGTGTATGCATGTCTGCTGTTATTACTGTGTCCCTGGAACTGACTCCAGTTTCCCTTCACTCTTTGACGACAGCATTGATCCCTTAGGTCGGTACTGGAAGATGCCCTGAGTTTGAATTACGTTTTATGCTGGGCTGAGTGTGAAACACAAGAGATCCTGCTAGTCTGAACCTGGAATTCCATTAGAAGAGAGCCCACATCTCACAGCTTGGGAACATGGAATGGACAGCAGGCTACTCAGATTTCATATCTCCTCAGCTTCACCCCCTGCCACTCCTCTCCTCACACAACAGTCCAGTCACCAAATTCTTACTATTTCTTCAGTGCCCACGTCCCACGTGCCTTTGTGCCTTTCCACTCCCCACAGGCTCTTCCTGAAAGGGCCGCCCCGCCTCTCTGTCTCATAGACCTCTTTTCAGCCTAGGTGGCCCAGCTCAAGACTTATCCTTCAGAATCTTCTCCGTGAACTCCCTCAATCCCCTCTCTCCGACAGCGTGTTAGACACCCCTCTCTTACTCAGCTCCCCGAAGTACACTCCCTCCTCTGCGAGGCCCCTTTGGAAGCAGAGCCTGTGTCTCCCTCCCGGGCCCTGTGTCCCCAGCATCTCTCACATCACCCGGCACTTGGTTGGCACAGGTGAGCGAAAGTTTTGCTAGAGGAATGAAAACCAAAATGGCCTTTTTGTTTGTCCTTCCTGCAGAAACGATGACCATGGGGTAAGAAGACTGCTCGCGCCAAGGACACAGGAGGACAACCATCTTACAAAGACCTAAGTCACTTTTCCCATCCAACAACACCCGGACGACTGCAGTGACCAAACCCTCAGCTGTGACCGCAGCAATAACGGACTCTTTCCAGAGTTTGGTGAACGTGGACCGTCCCGCCTCCCTTGGGGGAGTTGCCCAAGGTGGTGTGCCGCAAGGAGAAGCCTCTGTCTCGTGACCAAGGACCACGTTTGGACTACGGAAGAAAAACCAACAGATAGAAGGAGAGCACCACGATTCTTAGTGGTGGACTGATAGGAGACCCTGGGAGGGAGGGGACACAGCACCTGCTGGGGCAACAGCTGTTTGCTCTTTGCCAGAATGCCCTGGAAGGACAGAATATCTAAACATCCAGGTGCTAAGTAGGCAGTAGATCAAAATCCACACTGGACTACCTTTGAGCTAATGACTGTTTCTAGAAAATAATTTGACCGCCCAAAGTACTCCTGCTTTCTAAGGAATGCCCCCAAGAGAGTACTAACACAGGCAGGCTGTTCCCCTGTGTCTAGAGGAAGCTCCCAGCAAACTCACTGCCCCCACCCATGTGCACAGCCGAAAGCACTAACTGATCGCCTCCCCCTTTTCCACTCAAGGAGCCCACGGAGTCAGACTCCCCAGCGCCGTGTTCCAGGTAGCCAACAGCTACTTCTTTTTAGCTGGTGTTGGCATTAGAGGGAAAGTCATTTCTCATTCCTGTTAAAAGAGTGCTGCCTCTCAGTGGCACAAGCATTCAGGAGTGTCCTTTCCCATGTACCTTCGACCACTGAGGGAGCAGCCTCAGAATTCGGCCCCTCATTGTGTGGGACAAGGTCACAGAGTGTGAGCGCGAGCATCCCCTGAGCGGAGTCACAGCCTTTGGCCTGAGTGCCTTGGGGGTGTTCCCATATGCAACAGCCCCGAGGCATTGATAGCCTTGGGCTGCACGGGCAGAGGTGTCCTTTTTACTTCTAGACACATGCAGACCCTTGCACAGCACTTGGGGAATGGAAATACCTACAAGAGTGAAGGTCAAGGGCTCTCCCCAGGTATCTCATCCATGACTCAGCCTGCTTCATGGCCATGGCCTCCAGCCCACTGCCAGCCACGCTCCTCGTCGCCATTGCTTCAGCCTCCATCCGAATGAAACCAAAGGCCTCGGCATACCTTGTGGGGAGGAGGGCTGTCACCTGTGGTCCCTCTCTCCCATTAGGGGTACAAGGCACCCCAATCTACACAGTTGTACCACTTGTATAACAAGCGGCAACATATCCCTCTCTGTTTGCTGTCTCCAAAGAAGGATTCAAAGTTGGACACGGGTCCCATTTCCTGGGCAGCTCATTATTTTAATTTGAACTAACATTTTGGTGTGGGGCTGACCAGGTAGAAACATGTTTTCAGGAAGTTCTTGGTTGTCATTGCTGCCTAGCTTTGCCTGGCTTAAGAACCCCTACCCCTATCTGATGTCTGATCTAAAAAAGATGATACCTTTGGTTGTGTGAGGGCAGTGCTGTTATACTCAAGTGTCATGCATCCCCCGCCCTGCCTATTACACATCTTCTCTGATTAGCTTCAACCATGGCGATCCAAAGGGACTCCAGGGTCCTACCAATGGCTGATGACGTAAATGAGTAGTTACCTTTCTTTGCTCAGATGTCTCCTCACCCTCCCCACTCACACATCCATCACCACATCAATGGGTAGAACCAAAGCATGAAGGGCTAGTGCTGACAGGACAGTCAGTGGAAAAATTGTCTCTAGAGCCAGGCAGATGAGCCCAGAAGGATGGTCCCAGAGAAGCCAAACCGACCCCAGTCGATAACGGGCAGCCACCCCCGATAAACCGTGACATATTCTTGGCAATGGAAGGCAGGCAAGAGATCCTGGGGCAGCTGTGCCTATTTTTCCCCACCCCAGGATCATCCTGCCCAGGAAGCTAGCAGGCCTGGGGTTCTAACCAATTGTGTATGCTACTGGCTAAGAGGCCTGTCTCCATGGCAGGCAGGCGACTCGTCAGTCTAGCTGTGGCCACAGGCTGGTTATAAATTGAACTCCCTGAGCCCATCTGCAACTCTGACTCTTGTATTCTGTTTGGTTTCCCTTTAGTTTCCTAGTAAATGTTCCTTTGGAAAAAGTCTATCTTTGTCTCATTGACGTTGCGGGGGAAGAGATTCGCCATCCTTTTTAGGACAGAGAAGAAAATGTAAGCACCTTGGGAAAATGGAAATGACAGTGGAAAGAGACCTCAGAGAAAACTGGTGCCTAGAGATGGAGACAGACTGGGGCGTCTTCCCACCCACTGGGCACTGATGCTCAGCATTTCTCTGTAGGAGGTCTTCCTGGGCTGTGTGTTGTTGACAAAGCATCTCCCACAGCAGCGAACCAGACACATTCAGCAGGCAGAGTGGGGTCTGGAAATACACTGTGGCTGTGGCGTGAATGGAGAGATTTGGGAGGGAAAAGGAACAGTGTCTACAATGTGTATGTTTCCAAAATGCTCTGACAATCATGACTGAAAATGGTCTGATTTAGAGTTCATGACTATCCATATATCTATGTCACTTTTGTGTGTTAGGCCAAGTCGACTAGAGAAACAAATCCAGTGACACGAGGATGTGCGTAAGAAAACGCTTTATATGAGGAAGTAATTGTACATCAAGGAAACAGCCCAACCCAGTCCAACTAAGGTCCATAGGCCCAATACTAGTCCATAAGTCCCTCTTCAGACTCACGCAGCCACATGCGAAGATGCAGAATGCAGGGAGATCACAGGCCAGTGGGTGCAAAGTCATGTGGATCCAAAGGCGATGGCAGGAAGGTGAGGGCAGAGAGTGAAGGGGTGGTTTCCAGGACTCCCCTTATGAGAAGGCCATGCCCACCAGGAGGCACCATCAGGCTGTGACCTGATTGACAGGTTGAATACCACCCCCATGCTTTTATACATCTTCAAATTGACATGAAATCATGCAATGGCCACATCATGTGAAGAGGAGGAAAAGGTACACTCTCCCCATTACTCCAAGTCATCTGACAAAAGATGGAGATGGAAAATACATTCCTGTCCTCATGACTGTTCTATCCTGAGGGTGGGTGCTATAGTTACATATTGCTCTATACCAAACCCTACAACCCTTGCTGTAGTTTTAAGTAATAATGTAGTATCTCGTTTCATTCTGAGTTGGCTGGGGTTAAGTAGGTACTTGGTTTCTCCTCCAGTCATAGGGCCCCCGTGGCTGGATCCTCTGAGCGCCCCACTGGGGGAGATGGCACCTTCACTCACAAGTCTCTTGGCCTGGGTGGTCTGAGTTTCCTCACAACATGGAGGTCACCAGGTGGTCAAACCCCAGACTAAATCTTACACAGTGAAGGGCTCGCTCCAGAGCAAACATCTCAAGGAGCCCCGGTAGATGGTGCAAAGTTCTTGTAGGTCACCTCTGAAGTATCACAGTTATTTCTGCCACAAGCTCAGAGCAAGTCACAGGTCCTTTCAAAAAGGCCGAATTCAAGTAGAAGAGATGACATCAGAATAGAGTATCAATCAGAAGGTGTGGCTTTATCGAGGAGACAGTGTGGACGGGGGTGGGGTGGGAGAAGTCTGAAGACTTCTTAGAGAGGTGGCACTCTAAATGCACATTTAGTGCTTAACATGCCTGGTGAGGGGTGGAGCAAGGTGGGTAAGAGGATTAGAGAAGGGTGGGGAGGGCTACCCATGAACAGTTACACAGCATACCCTGGAGAACAGCACCTGGTTTTATGATTATGATTGATACGGAGCTTACGATGTCGTGAGAAACCCTGGAGAAGAAAACATGATTCTCATTTTGCTAACAGCTCAACAGCTTGAGTTGCATGTCTGCCTCATCTCTGCACCAAGGTGGAGGTGAAAACAATAGTCCCATGCTTAAGAATACACTTAGAAAAATATTAAGTAGAGATCAACCTGTCCTTTTTCTCAAACTTTCACTTTAGAAGGAATCGTTGCAGCTGATGGAGAGGGGCTGGGGCCTTTACCAAATCTAGTATGAATGATGGCAGCGCTTTCTCAGGGACCCCCTGACACTCAGATGGCCACAGTGCCTTCTTCAGTCTGTCCCTCCCTCTCTTAAAGTCATTCTGACGTGTTGAATAGTCAGGTTCCAATCCACTGCCCTTGGCCCCACCCTGACCTCCTCCTCCCGCCACTGTGAGGGAATCTTCCAAACCATCTTCGAGAAAGTCATTAGGTGAACTGAGGAGCGTGAACATGGATGTGCATCCGGCCACAAACTGCCGGTGGCTGCAACCTGTACTTCGATCCTGGGAGTTGTGTAGCTGCCCGTAGGGACCACTTCACTCTAGGCCACTGGGGTGGTGGCGGACAGAAGGGAGTGGACAGTCATTGTAAATATTCAACCTGGGAATTTCTAGCCTCTGGAACTGCCACCTGCACTCAAGCCTGAACGAATGGCTTCCCCTGAGACTTGCTATCCCTTCAAGATCCCTACGAAGTGCTTTCCCTTTCCTGTCAGGGTCCCTGGTTAAGCTGGTTGCTGGCATGGAGTACAACCAGAGGCCCGAGTGGCCAGTGGGCCCCTTTGAGAGTCGGGTTTTCTCTCTGACAGGATCTTCTGAGTCTTCTTCCTCTAACCCTAGTCCTAATCCCTGAAATGACAGGGTCACAGAAAAGGGACAGCCCTGCCATAAACTCAGAAAGCCAAATTCACTGCCATTGACTCCATGCTGACTCGTGGTAGCCTCAGAGAACAGGGTAGAACTGCCCCTGGGGGTTTCTGAAGCTGACTACCGGAGTAGAAAGCCTTGTCTTTCTCCTGGGGAGCAGCTAGCTTTCTAACTGCGGACCTTTGGAACTCGACTGAGAGCTTATTGGGTCTTCTGGCTCCAGCCAAGCTCACGGGCTCTTTCAATCAAGCAGCAAATACAAAATATGACCCAACTTCATGGCCAAGACTTTTTCCCCTGGATGGACACTGTTAATGTAACAATGGTCCAGGCTGTCCTGGACCAAGCAAGCCCCCTTAGGGAAAGGGGGTGTCTTGGCCATCATATACAAAAGGAAGTATGCTAGTCCCTTAATTAGACAGCAGCCCCTTAATCTCAACAACAACAACAACAACAAAGCATTTCAATCAAAGTTAATATTTTTCTAAAATACAAATTTGTTTTATCTTGTTGCCTGCAAAGTTAAGTGTTACACTATCTTGAATAACACCGATGGCCTTTGAAAGAATTGCATTTATGTAAAATCAACAGGAAGACCTTTACACTTTCCCTTACACTGTTTTCCACCCTGAAAATGAGCGTCACCGAGCCAGTGGCATTTATGGGTGACATATAGCTGGCCCTGGGGGTTTGCAGGGTGCAGCTGCCTGCTGCTGGGTGGATCCCTTGGCTCTTCCTAGTTCTGCTAACATCTGCCAGCCTTCTGCGTGGCTGCTCCTTGACTCCTGGGCCTGAGGAGACTTTGTCTTGGCCACAACAGCCAGGACAAACCCTCTGGAGCTTCTGAGTCATTAATACCATTTGGGCAACTACTGACACTTGGTTTTGATGTCTCCAAGATCTGAAGGTGCCCTGTCTTACGCTCCAAAAAACCTATCTGCCAGCAGCTGTTTCCCTACGTGAAGTAACATCGGGTCCAGTGTGCTCCTAGGGTTCGCTCTGAGTTGGAAAAGATCAGGCTTAGGAAATCTCAACAGTGAACTCCCGAGTTTCCATGGTGAGGGCAAGCCCTTCTAACCCACTTCTCAACCAACTTTCATCAAGTCAATTCTGACTCATATGGACTCTGCAGGACAGTGTCGAAATGTCCAGGTGGTGCCTGAGGTTGTAAATCGTTAAGGAAGCAGGCGACCTCGTCTCTTATGAAGTGGTAGGTGGGTTTGAACTGGCAGCTTTTCATTTAGCAGCCCAACTGATAACATATCCTCTTAGGAGAAGGCATTTATAAAAACAGAGAAGATCCCCACCGACTTTCAATGCATGGCTCGTGTTGACTCTTGGGAGACAAGGTAAAACAGTAGTTTGGGAGAGACAGATTTCAGGTTTGAAGCTATAATTATGTAGTGGTCCGGGACTGGGAAGGAAGATTAAATAAACTTTTTACCTACCACTTAAACCTATTCTAGTCCATGCTCTCATGACACTGCGTACTAATCATAAAGCGTTTCCTGTCCTCTGATAACCCTACGTAGTGGTGAAGACCAGCTGACCTCTCAAAAATGCAGAAGTACCTCAAGCTGGTTCACCACGGACAGTGATGCGTGGAGACAGGCCTGCTTTACAGTGGGCAGAAGACCCACTGACCACTCTGCAACCTTCCTGGTCCACTCCAGTATTGGAGGGATTCCGCCAGCCTCCTCTTCAGCGGATTTACATTTTTTAACGAGTGATCTGAAATGCATTTGATCTTGATGTCTAATATGAATGAGAAACCAGAACTGGCAGTGGAGGACATTCCATTTTTAATTAAATACCAACCTAAGTTCTCTTAGTACATGCCCAAAGAATTAATCGTAGTCTCCCACATGAGCTGAAGGGAGGGAAGGGAGCAGAAGCAAAGAAGGCTCCCTGGGGGGAGCTCTGATTTATTTGTTTAATTTTAATCACTTTATTGGGAGCCCTTACAGATATCAGAACATTCCATAGCTCAGTCACATCAAACAAGATTGTACAATTGCTACCACAATCAGTTTCAAGACATTTTCTTTTTTTCTTGAACTCCTTGATACCAGCAACCCTTTGCCCCCCTCCCTCTCCCATCATCCCCACTAGGAACCCTTATTCTTTTATGGTGTTGTTTTGTGTTATCTTGCACAATCCAATATATCACATACGATTCTGTTATTCAATCCCATTGAGTGGAATTGTACAATCATCAGTGCTATCAGCTCTCCCTGCCCTTCTCTTCCCATATCCTTAGGGAACCATTACTTCTGTTACTGTTTCGGAAGGGTTATGTATCCTGACTTTCATATGCCAAACGATCTTAACTATACAAATGAACATATGCAAATCTGATATACTTAATAATAAAAAACTAGAGGATAGTTATGTGGTTCATCAGTGTCATACTGCACCCTGGGTTTATCATCCCTTCCATGTGGCCCTTCTGAGAGGGATTGTCCAGTTATCTTACAG